AAAACGATGGAATTCAGAAAAACTTTTGATCAAAACCGGGAAGGAGTTTTTAGTGAAGTGAGTCGACCGTCTGCTCGGTCTCCAGTTTCAGGATGTTACATCAGGAGTTCCAGTCATCAGTGTCTAAAAACAGAAGGTGAAACTGTTCTGAGGATCCTGACCTCTGAAGTGTCCTGACCTCTGAAGTGTCCTGACCTCTGAAGTGTCCTGACCTCTGAAGTGTCCTGACCTCTGAAGTGTCCTGACCTCTGAAGTGTCCTCACACTGCGCTGGACTCGTTTCCTCTTTCCTACAAAAAGACTTTTTCATGTTGCATAAACTTTTGTCAGAATCCTGCGGTGGTGAAAGTCTTTAAACGATGCTTTTGTAGGTTTTGTTTTTATGATTTCCTCTGTGTTTTTTCTCTCCTCTCCTCCTCAGGCTCGTCGGACAGAATGAACCTCCTGGACTACCCCATCCCGGAGCTGGAGGTCACCCTGCAGGAGGTGGGCCGGGTGCTGCAGCTCACGCTCCCTCCTGACCTGTACCTGGAGTACAGAACCACTCTGGACCAGCAGAGGGCGCTACTGCAGGACGCTCAGCAGAAACTGGCCTGTCGAGCGGCCGGTCGGGAGAACTGGGTGACGGAGCAGTTTAAGAAGACCTTACTGTCCTGTGCCGACCCCCTGCCCATCTCCACGGCTCTGCCCGTGATCCTGCTGCCCGGTAAAGAGGCCCGGTCCCAGCTGAGCAGAGCGGCCGCGCTGCTGTGGGCTGCAGCCACGCTGTGCACCGAGCCTCTGCTGCTGGAGGGAAACGCCGCCATGGAGCGAACGCAACAGTCTGAGGCCTTCTCCGCCTGCAGGCTCCCTGGAGCTCACCAAGACCAGTTTAAGGTGAACCTTCATGAGCGGCTCTAAAACGCCGAGGTGAGGGTCGGCCACTTCACGTAACGGTGTTTACTGTGTTCCAGGTTTACCCGGACAGTCTCCACGCTGTCGTCACGTGTGCAGCTGGAGTCTTCCCTGTGGACATCCTGCGGCGTTCCAGCCCCGGGGGGCCCCTGTGTGCCTGCTCCTTCACCCACATCTACCGTCAGCTGGCGCAGGTGCTGGCTCAGCCCTGTGCCGGAGAACACGACGGCGCTTTGACGCTCTGCAGCCTGTCGGGTCTGGAGCGTAAGACCTGGGCCGGTATCAGGGAGCAGATCCTGGGTCAGGGGCCTGAAGCTGCAGAGGCTCTGGAGGTTATGGAGAGTGCTGTGTTGGCTCTCAGTCTGGAGGAGAAGAACGCACCTACACATCTGGCCGACATCCTGAACGCCGTGAGGCTGGGAGCAGAGGAGGGGCCCTGCCTCAGATACTACGACAAAGTACGAGAGTAAACCTGCGTCTAACTGCCCTTTGTCTGTCTTATATTTAACCGTTTATTACTTATTTGTTTATTGTTTTTTGTTTACAGGTGATTAACCTGGTGGTGTTCCGGGACAGCACTGCTGGGATGCTGTTTGAACACACTGGGGTGGACGGGATGGTGGCCTGTCTCGTGACGAAGGCCATTTACAATCTGTCTGAGACTGTGGACTTCAGTGGAGTCCGCGGTGACTCTCCAAACCTGAACGGGTCTGTCACTTCTGCTGGTCCAGTGTCTTTATCGTTGCCTTTAGAAGGTGTCAAATATCCACAACCAAGTTCCAACAGAAAATGCACTTACCCCATCCTCTCCTTCGACCTGCCCGCGTATCCTGACGCCCTGGCCACCCTCAGCGGGCACAGAGGTCTGTACGACGCCTGGATCACCTTCTCACTGCAGCTCGCCCTGAGGCAGACCGAAGGGGAGTCAGCGTCTAGTCACATCCTGGTCACGCCCACCCATATGCGCCACTTCAAACACGGTCGATGTGACCCCACCTACTCCCTCACCTGCCATTCCCGCAGGCTGATCGACGCGATAGCCTCCAGCATGAGCCCGGAGAACACCGGCCAGTGCGCTCCAGAGATCTTACGCCTCTTCCATGTCGCTTTTCTGGAGCACAAAGCCCTGATCAAAAACACTAAGAACGGGCGAGGAGTGGGCCCTCACCTGGCTGCCCTGCGGAGGTCTTTGCCCTCGGACAACCCTCTGAGAAAGTTCTTCGACCCCTTCGGCTGCCCGTCTGTGTACCTCTCGGGGAGTCTGCTGGACGGCGTCGAGTGCATTGTCGGCAACGTCTATGCTCAAAACCAGCTCTCAGTAACGTACTTTGGAAAGAAAGACAATGTTCGCATTCTGCTGAACGCCAAAGGGACTTTTACTCAGAACTTGGACAATCTCACTGAAAATCTGAAGTCAAGTCTGCAGTTAGTCCAGCTCATAGCGCTGAGGTATTCCATCGCATGTCAGATGGGGGCTCTGGAATGTCTTCTGCAAAAAGGTCAAACTGATAAAATGAACGGAGAACTTTGTTACGCGGATACTCACGACTTTGCCCCCAAATCCAGTCCTGCCTGCACTTTGTTAATCCACGGCGGGGCTGGAGAGGACCTGATGATGAACCCTTTGGTGGTCAGAGTTATCGAGTTTGCTTTAGAAGCAGCTTTATCTGTCGGATCTCAGGTTCTGCAACAGGGCGGGAAGAGCGTAGACGCGGTTCAGAGGTCGGTGGAGGCGCTGGAGAACTGCTTCCTGTTTAACGCCGGTAAAGGCTCGGTGCTCAACCAGGAAGGCAAGCACGAACTGGAAGCGAGCATCGTCGACGGCCGGTCCATGAAGTCAGGGTCCGTCGCCTGTGTGGAGCATGTTAAGAACCCGATCAAAGCAGCCAGGAGCGTGATGGAGAAATGCCAGCACGCGCTTCTCGTAGGGCAGGGGGCGGAGGAGTTCTGGCAGGCGCAGGACGACAGGGACAGGCCGGTCGAGCCCACGTACTTCCACACCTACGTCAGGCAGGGACAACTCACCGCCAAGCTCAGTAACGACAGCAAACAGAAGAACAGCCACCCCCAAACGGTCGGCGCGGTAGCTTTAGACTCCGAGCGAGGTTTAGCCGCCGCGGCCTCCACCGGCGGGCTCGTGGGGAAGTTAAAGGGGCGAGTTGGGGACACGGCGGTGGTCGGAGCGGGCGTGTACGCGGACGACAGCGTAGCGATCTCCTGCTCCGGTGACGGCGACGTGTTTCTCAGACACTCGGTCGCGCACAAAATAGCCGGCCTCTACCGCCACAAAGGGTACAGTCTTAGGCAGGCGTGCAGGGAGGTGATGGAGGACCACCTGAAAGGCGTCTGCGCGGGTCATCGCCGTCGACAGGAAGGGCGACGCCGTGATAGAAACTAACGCCGGTGTTATGTTCGTGGGGACGATAATAAACGGTATCCCTCGAGTCGAAGCTTTAAGGCCCATGAAAAACGTCTCTCATGCAATTTGGGAGTCGGATGAGCTGGTGGCACATCTGCACCCCAACCCCTGGACGCCCGGCGCAACCGTCCTGACGCGAAAGACCTTCAGCGGGGCAGAGAGCATTTTCAATTTACCAATCCCGGACTACGTGGCCCTGCTGGAGGCGGCGAAATGTGTGTCCCACCTGTTGTGTGAGCGCCTCGCGGCACAGCGATGTTCTCTTGTTTTTTACCCGTCACAAAAGCATCCAGCGCAAATCAGACTCCTCCCCCTGCACGGTGTCTCCCCCAAGTGGCAGCCGCAGGTGGCGCCAGACCAAGAATTTAACGCCTATGACCCCGGCTTCTGTACGTCGAAAAATGGCCTCAAATGGAACCCCGAAGAACTAACCGAAGTCCAGGCGAAGATTAGAAATGTTTTACCGACGCCAAACGCTCCGCCCTGTTTCGATTTTCACGGCGACCGCGATCGCGACGACCTCTTCAGCCGCATCGTCCGCGGCGCGCAGCAGCAGTGGAGGGTCTGGGAGGACGAAGCTCATGTCGCGTTTTTGAGCCCGTACCCCAACACGCCCGGATGCACCGTCGTCGTCCCGCGGAAACCTCTGCCCAGTGACGTGTTCCGCCTGGGAAGCGCGGACTACGAGGCGCTGATCTTGGCCACTTATAAAGTGGCTCGACTTGTCCGAAAAGGGCTGCGAGCGCGAGGCGTGGCTCTGGTCTTTGAAGGGTTCGAGGTCGATTACGCCCACGCCAAACTGTTTCCTCTGCTGCCCGCGCCGACCGGCACCGAGCTCCAAACCAAAACTCCAGCGGAATCCTTCCAAACGTACCCCGGGTTCGTGTCGTCCGCGGACGGTCCGGCTGCCGATTTGGACGATCTGAAAACCGTTCACGCTAAACTCACGCAGTGCCGACCTCCGCGCTCGTGGCAGCTCCCCCAGTCGCACGCGACCGCCGCCATCACGAGCGACTGGTACCGTAATCTGTTCCGAATTCAAAACACGCTCTTCCACAGCACCGTGGAGTATTTTCACACCGTGCGCCGGTACTCGTACGCCCTGACGCCGCTGACCACAGACACCATCTCCTCGCCCATGGGTCTGGGCTCCGACTCCGAACCCGTGTCCGTTCACCTCTTGGGTCACGACGTGTACCTGGCCGACTCCATGCAGTTCGTACTCGAGTACTTCCTGCGCTTCCAGGACGACCTCCCGGGGACGTACTACATTTCTCCCAGTTTCCGAGGCGAGGACCCGGACGACACGCACCTGAACCAGTTCTACCACGTGGAGTGCGAACTGCGGGGAAACATGAACGACGCCATTTCCGTCGCGGAGGGATACGTGGCTCATCTGACCGAGGCCATGTTGAAAAATCACTCCGACGTCATCCTGAAAACGGCCGGGAGCCTTTCGCACGCCACAGATCTGCTCCGTAAACTCGCAGGGAATCGTCCGCTCCCGCGCGTCACCCTGGACGACGCCATCCCGATGATGACCGAACCCGACTGCCTGGACTGGGTGCAGGACGGACAACCGCAGTTCGGCCGGAAGCTCACGAGGAAAGGCGAGCGTCTGTTGATGGAGAAGTTCGGCGGCGCGGTGTGGCTCACGGACATGGATCATCTGGCCGTGCCGTTTTACCAGGCGTACGCGGACGCGGACGCGGACGCGGACGGCGCGGGGCGGCGGAAGGCCAAGGCGGCGGACCTCCTGATCGGACTGGGAGAGACGGTGGGGTTAGGGGAGCGTCACCCGTCGCCCGCCCTGGTGCAAGACGCGCTGAGGCACCACGCTGTGCCCGAGGACTCGTACCGGTGGTACGTGGACATGCGGCGCGCGCGGCCGCTCGTCACCAGCGGCTGGGGCATCGGCACCGAGCGCTTCCTGTGCTGGATCCTGCGGCACCACGACGTCAGGGACATGCACATCATCCCCCGAATGAAAGGAGCCAAGTTCATGCCCTGAGTCCGACTCCCGAGTCCGACTCCCGAGTCCGACTCCCGAGTCCGACTCCCGAGTCCGACCCCCGAGTCCGACTCCCGAGTCCGACTCCCGAGTCCGACTCCCAGACCGAAGAGAAGAAGAAGAAGAGTCCAGACGTTTAGTCCGACTCGATTTTCAAAAATAAGAAAAACTAAATAATAATAATAATATAATCTTCATTATTTGTCTCCAAAATCAAAATAAATTAAAAAACAAAAAACAAAAAAACAGATAATGGACTAAACCAGGACTAAACCAGGACTAAACCAGGACTAAACCAGGACTAAACCAGGACTAAAGCTGGACTAAGTGTCGGGATTAGACAGGAGGTGCTCCAGCGTAGACTGTTGGGTAATCAGGACTGAGACCAGGACCAGACCAGGACCAGACCGGGACCAAAACTGGACAAGATCAGGACTCAGACCGCGACTGAGACCGGTTTAGTCCTGGTTTAGTCCTGGTTTAGTCCTGGTTTAGACCTGGTTTAGACCTGGTTTAGTCCTGGTTTAGTCCTGGTTTAGACCTGGTTTAGTCCTGGTTTAGTCCTGGTTTAGACCTGGTTTAGACCTGGTTTAGTCCTGGTTTAGACCTGGTTTAGACCTGGTTTAGTCCTGGTTTAGTCCTGGTTTAGTCCTGGTTTAGTCCTGGTTTAGACCTGGTTTAGTCCTGGTTTAGACCTGGTTTAGACCTGGTTTAGTCCTGGTTTAGTCCTGGTTTAGACCTGGTTTAGTCCTGGTTTTAGACCTGGTTTAGACCTGGTTAGTCCTGGTTTAGTCCTGGTTTAGACCTGGTTTAGTCCTTGGTTTAGTCCTGGTTTAGTCCTGGTTTAGACCTGGTTTAGTCCTGGTTTAGACCTGGTTTAGACCTGGTTCAGTCCTGGTTAGTCCTGGTTTAGACCTGGTTTAGTCCTGGTTTAGGTTTAGACCTGGTTTAGACCTGGTTTAGTCCTGGTTTAGACCTGGTTAGACCTGGTTTAGTCCTGGTTTAGTCCTGGTTTAGTCCTGGTTTAGTCCTGTTTAGACCTGGTTTAGTCCTGGTTTAGACCTGGTTTAGACCTGGTTTCCTGGTTTAGTCCTGTTTAGACCTGGTTTAGTCCTGGTTTCCTGGTTTAGACCTGGTTTAGTCCTGGTTTAGACCTGGTTTAGTCCTGGTTAGTCCTGGTTTAGACCTGTTTAGTTTAGACCTGGTTTAGACCTGGTTAGTCCTGGTTTAGTCCTGGTTTAGACCTGGTTTAGTCCTGGTTTAGTCCTGGTTTAGACCTGGTTTAGTCCTGGTTTAGTCCTGGTTTAGTCCTGGTTTAGTCCTGGTTTAGTTCATTTTCTGTTTTCTCATTTTGGTTTTTGGAGACAAATATTAAAGAAAATGTTAGTTTTTTGGTTTTCTTCTTGTTGGTTTTATTTTGAAAATAAAATCAGTTTGGTGGTTTGGTCCTCGTCTTGAGTCTGTGTCTCCGTCCCACAGATTTACACAAAAACACAGATTTGTCCCAAAGTTTCTACACAAATGTCCCAGAGTCTCAGTTTTGGACCAAAGTGAAACAGTAAAGACACAAACTGACATTAGTTTGAGTCAAAATACAGAAAATCTGATTCAAAACAACCAAAATGTTTGATTAAAGACACAGTGTGGGACTTTTCTGGACGAGTGTTTCAGGTTCAGGTCTGGGTTTGATTTTGATTTTAATATTTGATATTTGATGTTTGATTTGATGATTTGTAAACGTGGCTGATTTTGCTCCAGGTGATTTTCTGACACTTTTCATGTGATCGTTGATTCTGAGTCTGAGATTCACTTCAAATCAAACTTTTACTTCAAATCAAACTTTTACTTCAAATCAAACTTTTACTTCAAATCAAACTTTTACTTCAAATCAAACTTTTACTTCAAATCAAACTTTTACTTCAAATCAAACTTTTACTTCAAATCAAACTTTTACTTCAAATCAAACTTTTACTTCAAATCAAACTGACAGATTTTCTTTGTTTGCTGAGATTTATTAAAAACATTTATGAAAATAAAAACCTGTTTTTGTCATTTTTACAGAAGAAAACAAAAAAATATTTAAAATAAAATTAAAAACAAATATTAATATTAATCTGGCGTCATTACGACAATAAACTGAACCTGGACTAAACCAGGACTAAACCAGGACTAAACCAGGACTAAACCAGGACTAAACCAGGTCTAAACCAGGACTAAACCAGGTCTAAACCAGGACTAAACCAGGTCTAAAACCAGGACTAAACCAGGACTAAACCAGGTCTAAAACCAGGACTAAACCAGGTCTAAACCAGGACTAAACCAGGACTAAACCTGGTCTAAACCAGGACTAAACCAGGTCTAAACCAGGACTAAATCCATATATAATCAGACATTGTGAGTGTGAGCGGCGTCGCCTCTCCACAGATCTGACCTGTAACTGTGTGTGGTTTGGTCTCCGTGGAGACAAGCGTCTGACGAAGCCTCCAGCAGAAAAGTGACACGGTGCAGCTTTAAAATTCCAAATGTGACAAAGTCAATGTTTTTGTAAACGTGAGCGTCGCCCCCTGGTGACGAGTCTGACACACGACGCTCCAAATCCAAGAGCAGGAAATGTACTTTCAAATGTAATCCCCTACAGATTACAGATTACAGATTACACACCCCAAATGTAGTTTGTAACAGAATCCATTAAATGACTTAAAGTGAGTAATGTAATCTGATTACTTTGGATTACTTGATTTGTTGTAGAGAAACAAAGACGAGGAAATCTTCACATAAGAAGTTTTATCTGATAAAAGAAAATAAAAAGTCCAAACTTTACTGAACCAAATTAAAAATATTATTGATAAAAGACGAAGAAACACGTCCACACAGCAGGATTTAGTCCTGGTTTAGTCCTGGTTTAGACCTGGTTTAGACCTGGTTTAGACCTGGTTTAGTCCTGGTTTAGTCCTGGTTTAAACCTGGTTTAGACCTGGTTTAGACCTGGTTTAGTCCTGGTTTAGACCTGGTTTAGACCTGGTTTAATCCTGGTTTAGACCTGGTTTAGTCCTGGTTTAGACCTGGTTTAGACCTGGTTTAATCCTGGTTTAGACCTGGTTTAGTCCTGGTTTAGACCTGGTTTAGTTCTGGTTTAGACCTGGTTTTAGTCCTGGTTTAGTCCTGGTTTTAGACCTGGTTTAGACCTGGTTTAGACCTGGTTTAGACCTGGTTTAGTCCTGGTTTAGACCTGGTTTAGACCTGGTTTAGTCCTGGTTTAGACCTGGTTTAGACCTGGTTTAGACCTGGTTTAGACCTGGTTTAGACCTGGTTTAGACCTGGTTTAGACCTGTGTGACGGGTTCTATCTTGCTGTAATAACGATGGTTTAGTCAGAAGGATGTTTTTTTGAGTGTTTAATAGGTGTTAAAGTTCCCAAATAAAGAAAATTAATTAATTAATTAATAATGAGGAAAGGTAGATGGAAGACGAGGTTATGGAGGTGAAGGATTTGGCAGTGGACGTGTGTGCAGCCAAGGCTCCTGCGGTGGTGAGCGGACGGAAAATATGTAGCGGAGACCAGAGTGGACAGACGAGGAGCAACAGAGCGGGAACGGTGCAGAATGAATGAAACCAGGGGGTAGTTGGCGCGGGCTTGTTCAGGTGTGATTAAGTAAACACACACTCGGACGCAGCGACTCCGTCACAACCTGGTTTAGATCTGGTTTAGTCCTGGTTTAGACCTGGTTTAGTCCTGGTTTAGACCTGGTTTAGACCTGGTTTAGACCTGGTTTAGTCCTGGTTTAGTCCTGGTTTAGGTTTAGACCTGGTTTAGTCCTGGTTTAGACCTGGTTTAGTCCTGGTTTAGTCCTGGTTTAGACCTGGTTTAGTCCTGGTTTAGTCCTGGTTTAGTCCTGGTTTAGACCTGGTTTAGATCTGGTTTAGTCCTGGTTTAGACCTGGTTTAGTCCTGGTTTTAGACCTGGTTTAGGTTTAGACCTGGTTTAGACCTGGTTTAGATCTGGTTTAGACCTGGTTTAGTCCTGGTTTAGACCTGGTTTAGTCCTGGTTTAGTCCTGGTTTAGTCCTGGTTTAGACCTGGTTTAGATCTGGTTTAGTCCTGACCTGGTTTAGACCTGGTTTAGTCCTGGTTTAGACCTGGTTTAGTCCTGGTTTAGACCTGGTTTAGTCCTGGTTTAGTCCTGGTTTAGTCCTGGTTTTGTCCTGGTTTAGACCTGGTTTAGATCTGGTTTAGTCCTGGTTTAGACCTGGTTTAGTCCTGGTTTAGACCTGGTTTAGTTCTGGTTTAGACCTGGTTTAGACCTGGTTTAGATCTGGTTTAGTCCTGGTTTAGACCTGGTTTTAGTCCTGGTGGTTTAGTCCTGGTTTAGACCTGGTTTAGTCCTGGTTTAGTCCTGGTTTAGACCTGGTTTAGTCCTGGTTTAGACCTGGTTTAGTCCTGGTTTAGACCTGGTTTAGTCCTGGTTTAGACCTGGTTTAGTCCTGGTTTAGTCCTGGTTTAGTCCTGGTTTAGACCTGGTTTAGATCTGGTTTAGTCCTGGTTTAGACCTGGTTTAGTCCTGGTTTAGACCTGTTTAGTCCTGGTTTAGTCCTGGTTTAGACCTGGTTTAGATCTGGTTTAGTCCTGGTTTAGACCTGGTTTAGTCCTGGTTTAGACCTGGTTTAGACCTGGTTTAGTCCTGGTTTGGTTTAGTTAGACCTGGTTTAGTTTAGACCTGGTTTAGACCTGGTTTAGACCTGGTTTACCTGGTCCTGGTTTAGACCTGGTTTAGACCTGGTTTAATCCTGGTTTAGACCTGGTTTAGTCCTGGTTTAGTCCTGGTTTAGTCCTGGTTTAGACCTGGTTTAGACCTGGTTTAATCCTGGTTTAGACCTGGTTTAGTCCTGGTTTAGTCCTGGTTTAGACCTGGTTTAGTCCTGGTTTATCCTGGTTTAGACCTGGTTTAGTCCTGGTTTAGTCCTGGTTTAGACCTGGTTTAGTCCTGGTTTAGTCCTGGTTTAGTCCTGGTTTAGTCCTGGTTTAGTCCTGGTGCGGGGCCCGTCAGCTGCTGGTGTCCATGGAGATGTTCTTGCTTTACCTGCAATGTTCCAGATTGTGGCATTAAACCATCTCCACAGAGACGAGCAGGACACGGCCCCGGGCTGGACTTTACAGGTGAGATCTGTGAAGAGGCGACGCCGCTCAGTCAGAACAAAGTATTTATGAGAAATAAAACGACCCAGAGCCCAAGAAATCATCTCAGAAGTTTAATGTCGCACTGCGGAACATTCTGTACACAGTCTGATGTAAAGAGTCAGAGGAGGAGCCCCGTGTGGGCGAGCGCCGCGATGTCCCCCTCCCGACGCCGCGATGTCCCCCTCCCGACGCCGCGATGTCCCCCTCCCGACGCCGCGATGTCCCCTCCCGACGCCGCGGTCGCACCATGTCCCCCTCCCGACGCCGCGATGTCCCCCTCCCGACGCCGCGATGTCCCCCTCCCGACGCCGCGGTCGCACCATGTCCCCCTCCCGACGCCGCGATGTCCCCCTCCCGACGCCGCGATGTCCCCCTCCCGACGCCGCGGTCGCACCATGTCCCCCTCCCGACGCCGCGGTCGCACCATGTCCCCCTCCCGACGCCGCGGTCGCACCACGTCCCCCTCCCGACGCCGCGGTCGCACCACGTCCCCCTCCCGACGCCGCGGTCGCACCACGTCCCCCTCCCGACGCCGCGGTCGCACCACGTCCCCCTCCCGACGCCGCGGTCACACGATGTTCCCCTCCGCGGTCACACGATGTTCCCCTCCCGACGCCGCGGTCACACGATGTTCCCCTCCCGACGCCGCGGTCACACGATGTTCCCTCCCGACGCCGCGGTCACACGATGTTCCTCTCCCGACGCCGCGGTCACACGATGTTCCGCTCCCGACGCCGCGGTCACACGATGTTCCGCTCCAGGACGGGCTCTCGGCTGTAGATCCGTCTGAAGTCCAGGGCGCTCAGGTCGATGGTCGTGAAGGCTCCGTCCAGGATGAGTTCGGCGAGGCCTCGGCCCACGGCGGGCGAGTGCTGCAGGCCGTGGCCGCTGAAGCCCGTGGCGAAGTACATGTTGTTGACGAGGGGGTGCAGGCCCACGATGCCGTTCTGGTCGAAGGTGTTGTAGTCGTAGAAACCCGCCCAGGCGCTGGACACCTGCCCCCGACACACAACAGGACCAGACACACGTTTAAAGAACCACAACCCAGGACCCGACTTTACACCACAACGGGCACATGTGTGTGTAAGTGTGTGTGTAAATGTGTGTAAATGTTACACTTACACACACACACAGACACTTATACACACATTTACACACACATTTACATTTGCACACACATTCACACACATTTACACACATATTTGGACATACACTTACACACACATTTACACACACACACATTTACACACACATTTACACACACACTTACACACACATACACACACATTTACACACGTATTTAGACATACACTTACACATACATTTACATTTACACACACACATTTACACACACACTTACACACACACACACACACATTTACACACACACACATTTACACACACACTTAGACACACACATTTACACACACACACATTTACACACACATTTACACACACACATTTACACACACACACATTTACACACATTTACACACACACATTTACACACATTTACACACACACACATTTACACACACACACTTAGACACACACATTTACACACACACACATTTACACACATTTACACACACACACATTTACACACATTTACACACACACATTTACATTGGGATGAATCTGTTTTTTGTACCTTGAGTCGTTCAAACGCAGGGACACGTTGAGCCAGACTGGGCCACACTTTGTCCACGAAGAACTGATGGTCGACCTCCAGGTCCCTGGGGTCCGGCTCCTCGGCCTGAACACGAGAAACACACACAACACACACACACACACACACACACACACACACACACACACACACACACACACACACACACACACACACACACACACACACACACACACACACACACAGACACACACACACACACACACACACACACACACACACACACACACACACACACACACACACACACACACACACACACACACACACACACACACACACACACACACACACACACACACACACACACACA